ACCGCGATGTGGCTGACGCCTTCCCGCTTAATTAACCAATTCCCACTTTTGATATTGCAGTAATTGTAAGAACAAAACCAAAAAACTCTAGCGAGCGACGGTATCTGACAGCGATATTTTCAGTCACTCAATTTCTTCTCTGATTTTTCTTGACTAAGTTTCAAACATTTATCTATATCAGGCCTGCACAACATGCGGCCCGCTAGATACTTCTGTGCGGCCCGCGGGTCATTTGGAAACAAATCTTTGTTATTGTTATTTTTGTTACATTGTTATTTATGCAATGCTCGGTATTCAAACTGAATCACGCTCAAAACAATATCGGTATACAAGCTCCCACCCATTAGTGCATATTAGCAACCTATTAATAACCCCACTATTTTTTACTAGCAGTTTATGAAACTGAAGTTTCTTTTTCAAATTTGAAACTTAAAAAACAATTTTTTCATTCATGAATGCTGCAGAAAGTGTCGCACAAAATATATTGCTATTTACTGTAAAACTTCAAAAATTTGGAGCAGATTTTGTAGAAAAATGTAATTTAACAGTCGAAAAAGTACAACAGAGGAAGATCTATCGCTACTAAACGGATTGTTTGTCCAGCCTGCAATGAAAATATCTAAAAATGTTAGATATGACTGCATACCTATATGTGGGACGATTTTACAAAACTGAACCTGAGTAAAATATTTTCCTGCAGTCAGCTTATACTGCAACACGCAATACCTCATTCTAATAAAAAAAAAATTGATAATGAAGGGTCGCTTTCAAGGTAGATGAACCACTAAATACTCAAGAAAATAAGATTCTTTATATTTTTAAGCTTTCCAGTAATGGAAGTTTTTCATCAAATTTAACTGTTTCACAATATTATTTTGATTTGAAGTTCATCTTGTAAAATATGTATGTCGCAAAGTTTGCGGCCCGCCGGGCCTTCAGATTTATGCTTGCGGCCCTCGTGGTAATTTGAGTTGTGCAGGCCTGATCTATATATATATATATATGTATTGTTTAGATCAGTGTTATTCAAACGGATATACTGTAATGTATACCCAAGTGTATACAAAGACATATCCCTGGTCTATAAATAACAAACGGTATACGATGGTTTACAGGTCGAATGTAACCTACACCTACACTGTGTTGTGCTTTTGAAACAGATGCGCGTTCAGTTCACATTCGGCGTTGGGAATCACTAATCCAAAAGTAATGTTTGTCTGTCTATGGCAGGGCTCACAAAACTACGGCCCGCGGGCCAGATCCGGCCATTGGCCTTCTTTCATCTGGCCCGCATTAACAAAAATAATGGCGACATTTTTTCTAATGGATGTTTCCCTTAGTGGTGTAACGATAGACCTTTCCGCATCCGCTCAGACACTTATGTCACTCAGACAGATTTTAAGTCTTGGTTGTAAACAATAAATTCGATTCAATATGTTGATAGGATTTTAAATTTATTGTTTCATTTTCATAAACCTCTTGCTGAATGAAAACGGAAAGTTGAGGCAGCTTACTGGGAAAGATGCAGATTGTTCGTTTTGATTTATTTTTTACATGTTTATCTTTTCCGTTGATTAATAAAAAGAAAAGCGCACACCAGAATCTATCTGTCCTATCTATCTGAAAAGTCCGCTTCTGTTATCGTTTAATACGAAACGCTTCTCAGATTACTGTATTCCTTGGGACGGTTCCAGATAGATAGGTGAAGCGATCAGATGTTCATTCAAATAATGAACAACATTGTATGTCCACAATGTCGAACGTACATTTGTATGAAAAGCAAAATTTGTTGGGATTAGAAAATGTCGTTAATACCATGCGGGAAACAAATTGAAACGCTTCTAACTCTACATTTTTGATATTTCACACTTGCCAGATCCGAAACTCCGCTCTATTTTTAGTTTCATTTTATTCCGACTCCTATTTCCAGAATCGAAAATTTTGTATACTCGGAGCACAAGAGACATATTGAATTGGAAAATTCGTAGCCCGCGTTCGTTCGTAGACGTGCGGCGCAAATAGACTTTCAACAAACGTTATTATATCCCACTATTAATCACTGATATGATGATCCACAGGTAACAACAAAACATCATATTTCGGTTCGAGGTAATAAAGGGATTTTTGGTAAATTAATATTTCCGATTGCACAGGCATGGCAGTGAAGTCGATATCTGGGTTTTGCAGGTTACATTTTTGAAAATGATAGTGTTGGCTTGTTTGAACGGTAAATATTATCGTAGCAATAACCTGGACCAACAAGTTCTGTCTATTTAACTTTCTTTTTTATTCGCATTCGTAAAGTTTGAAGTAAAATATTTCGATGTATTGATGAAAATTCATTTTTTATTTTATTTACCCGCCTAATGCTGAAAGCACAACACAATCAGTTCTGTTTTTATTTAATATACATCACCCGAAAACATGAGCGCGCTCTTTAGCGCGCAATTTCACGATCTACAATGAGAAAAGTTCATGCCATTGGAATAACATTCTTATGTTCGTGTCTTTTTAAATATACCTACAATGAATAATATTGTTCCATTCATTGTGTTCAAACAATGCGCTCAAACCGTTTTTGATATCACAACATCACAAATATGATAGGAATTAAATTAGATTCATTGATTGGGAATTTATAAATGTTCCACCAGTGGTACGTTGTGGCAATACAAGAAGGTGGTGCGTATCATACAGAGCGAAGATTGTAAACTTATTTAAAATATAAAAAAAATCATCGAGGTTATAGAAATGTTGTTTTGTAGAAAACGAGTTGAAGCGTTTTACAAGTTCTTTCCATATTTTGTGCTTGTTTTTCGTAAAGGTATAATTTTTAAGAATATAGTTAGTTGAATGTTAAAATCCGAACGTCCGAATCCGCCACCTGCTGGTAGAGATGACCGTGTAATCCAACTCACAACTAGGGCTGGGCATTTTCGAATACCTGATGATTTCAGAATCGAATCCAATATTGTGTAATAGGTCCTGTCATCGAATAATTTACTATTCGATTCGAAATGCCCAGCGCTACTCACAACCAAAGGTTTCGAAACCCACTATAAGTATATATCAATTGTATTTTGCTTTTTACTCTTTCCTTATCAATGGATAAACACCACAGCCTTGTTGCAACTCGACAGTTTGTCAAATTTGCGCAACATAACTTTTTTGGGTTGATGAACTACATAAATATTAAATATAGTACGAAAAATTTATTACGCATTCACACACTGCTATGAATATTGCTTTGTTGGTATTGGCTGTGTTTCCCTGATTCCATATAAATTGAAAAATCATTATTGTGGAAAAAAACGTTCTTGGTTTTGATATTGGTATGATTTTCAACCTACTCTGTTGTAATATTTATTTTAAAGCTATCTAGGATTAACGGAGAGATATGTTCTTGTTTGAAATTATTTAATATTGTATATTCTAACGATAAATATTACGAACGCCACCATGGTAACTTACTTCTCGAACAATTCTATTATTTTGCTTTTCCTTTGTAGTCGCATTCGCACGTTATTGAGTAATGCGATATGTCCTGTTTCTACTAAAAATATAAAGCTATCACACAATTTGAAATACAATATTCTAACGATAAATATTACGAACGCCACCATGGAAATTAACTTCTCAAACAAATCTATTATTTTGCTTTTTCTTTGTAGTCGCATTCGAACGTTAATGAGTAATGCGATATGTCCTTTTTTTTACTAAAAATATAGAGCTATCACACAATTTAAAATACAATATTGACGAGATGCAGCTTTGTAGTTTTGCTATGTTTGAAACTTACTTTTTCCCTATGTATGTTCTTGCTATCGGACTGAGAAATTTATGCATTATGAGAATTTGAGAAAAGCATTGAGAACAGGGAGGAAATTCCGCTCTTGTTACCGAATGATATCGAACAAATTTATCGTGTTTACATCGTTTCTAATATTCCTTTGTTTCCTCGTTGCGACTGTCTGGTGTTTATTCAAAATATAATAGAAAAGAATAACAATGTTTTATTTTTTTAACGTTCACACAATGCCATCAAGCCATTTTTAATATCCCAAAATCCCAAATATGTAATATATAGAGGCGGATTGAGTTTTTATAAATGTTCTATCAACGCCACGTAGCAATTCGATACGGCATAACATATACAGCCAGGATTGTAAATTAATTTGAACAACAAATTTTTGTTGCGCTCAGAGAATATTGTTAATACAAAAGTGGCTCGTGCAAGTGTGCAATGCCCGATACATTTTGATTGAACTAGGTCATGAGCAAAACGCAAAAATATCAAAATTATCATATCCTAACAACATACGCATAAATATCACAGATATAGCCGTAATGGGGGTTATTTAGATATGCCGATATATTTCAGAATATTATTTATAATAATTATAGATCCTACGGACTAGACCAGACATATTAAGCAAGCATTGTGGCATTTTCATTGTGGCCTATCATATCCAGTCAAGAATATGTTTGAATTGGTCAGCTTTCTTCTCAACCCCATGTTTACAAAATAACTGCATATTGATTGATTACCGAATTCTTTGACATATGGCCGCATTTTTTGAAATACAGTTTAGGCTGGTTGCAAAAAACACCCGATGGGAATTATATTGTTCGGCGATTACATTAATATTTAGTTATCAGGCATAGCTAACCTAGGCTAATAGATTTCTTACTCCTTTTTTAGTTTCTATGAAGCCTATTTTGTTAGCATATATTCCCGACCAAAAAATTTGAAAGCCAGTTAACAATTTTGACTAGCCAAGTACATAATTCAACTTCGCTAGTTGCCTCAGCTGGCCATAACACTAGTTATAACACAATGGCGAAACAACACCAAATGCGATTTTTTTGTTTACTTTCGCGCAAATGCGACGCGGACCACATGTGGCCCGAGGGCCTGGGCTTGGACCACCCTGGTCTAGACTGAAATTGGTATTAATATTTTTTTTTTCAGTAGAATTATTAATCCTTGATCTGCAGTTATGGCTAGTCATTTCGGACGTGCAGTGAGTATCACAAAATCAGGAAAAAAGGGATTTTTGGAGATAGACGACGATGAGCTTGAAGCCGTTTTGATTAGACCAGATATTGGAGATCGCCCGATTGCAATTATATCCATTGCTGGGAGCATGAGAACTGGGAAATCATTCATTCAAAACTTCTTATTACGCTATTTACGAAACAGAGGGGTTGGTATATCTACATTTTTGTCATTGTCTGTTATTGTGAAACGCTGACACCAAAATCTGGCTCCAATTTACAATAATAACATTACAACACAGTTGAGGCATGATAATTTTTCACTTATCTTCGGGTGATTCGACTGCTGAGCGCTAAATGCATTTAAAAACGCTTTATAAAATATATGAAATAAATCCAAGTTACAATTTTCTTATAGAGACCCCACTGAAGATGTAAACGTCTATTGTTACTTTTGTACGACTGACAGCTGTCTGTATATTAACAGTGGGAGAATGATTCATGGATGGGCACAGATGATACTTCGGCCAATGACGGCATGACCTGGCGTGGAGGCAGAGATAGAATGACAACCGGTATTATTATTTGGAACGAAGTGTTCTATGTTCCTGATGCTTCTGGAAGCGAGGTATGATATTATGTCTTTAAGAACGTTTGATCGAAGCGAACTTCTATTTGAATAAAAAAATTACAGGTATAATATTAGTTTATAAATCAGCTGTTATCAACCAAGACGAGTTATGAGCATTCTGTTTATTTGTGTACCTAGTTTTTTCAGTATCAAATCCCCTTGCTATAGCTCACGCGATATAATATTTGCAAAACGACACGCATTCCAAACGATGTTACAACTTTCAGAGGCCGTGTAATGAATTTTGCAACTAAAGTCATCATACGTATACGCTATACATCATACGCTATATGTATTGAATTTATTTCAAATTCTGCAGGTGGCCGTGCTCATTATGGACACTCAAGGTCTTTTCGACAATGAAACCATCAAAGAAAACAACGTAAAACTTTTTACGCTTAGTGCTTTGATGAGTTCGGTCCAAGTCCTGAACGTGATGAGGCAGATCGAAGAAAGAGACCTGGAAAACCTCCAAGTACGTATGTTAGCGGTATTTTGAAGATTGATTAGGTATATTAAATTACTAATTTTTAATCCCCGAACTACCAATAAATCACGGAGTTGTAAGCAGTGACGTGTCTAGGGGGTTGCGAAATGGGTTTATGAAATCAGTCTTAATGGCCACTCTTAAAAGACTTAAATTAGATATCAGATCTTTCAAGGAATCCGGGACGACAAATTTCGATTTCGTGGTTTAGGATCTTATTAAAAGCGACTGTGTTAGACGTTATAGAATAAAATAAATTTGTCTTCAATCCGCTCACTATTGAAATCAGGTAGTTGACTATGCAAACCAAACACATGAAAATGTTTGGCACGCGAAATTGCTTATTATTCGTGAATTGGCACCCTGCGTTCGAAAGGTTGCCGACCCCTGTCGTAGACTAATAGGTACACATACAAATAGTATGGAGTGGACGATATATCTTGTTTTCCGATGTCTATGTAAACAAATCACTATGTTAATGACTGAAAAGAAATAAAAATGGCCGCAATGAATATATATACAGCGGTACGAAGGCGCGACCAATAAGTTGAAGATATCAAAAAAATAACAATGTAACAAGAGATAGATGTTTTTTGGCAATGCTCGTTTCGTGCTTTTGTACTGGTTACATAATCACCTACTACAAAATGGCCTGGTATGCAGCAAGCGCACGCCGTCAATTTTTATCGACATTGTTTATGCTGTATGAATTAGTTTGACGACTTGCGCGGAGGGACGTTTTTTGGCAACAATAATAAATTACAGATTTAGGGTCTGCTATTACAATTGCAAGTGAATTTTAGATTCTATCACAAGTATATACGAGTCTCAAACTGTGCTCTTTAATTAGTTAATCATTTATCATATAAGTGGTTGAAAAAGATCTAGTTAAATTAACTTTTTCACAATTGCACTTCAGCCTAATTCTGAGCGCTATCATTTATGGATATTATTATTTTACAGTTGTGTGTCGAATTTGCAACTAAAGCTGCGCAACAAAGTGAAGCACAGTTCAAGGTAAGTGAATAAAGCGGAGAAATGTCAATCCGTCGTAAAGGAATGTCGTTGCAATTAGGGCTGTCCAAGCGAACCGAATATTTATATTTAAAATCGAATCAAATCGCAAAATATTCGAATCGTTTTGCGGCTAATTCGCGAATCGGTGAAATAAAATACATAAAGCGTAAGAAGTCTTTCCACCACTGTTGAGCGGCATTTTCCACTGGACAAGCACCGCCGCCTCATGCGTAGACATAGACATAGACAACTCTCGCCCCTCGCATAACTCGTTTTCCAATATTTCTCTCGCTTTCATTTTGCGTGGAAAACGAGATCTCTAATCATGGAAACAGTTAGTAATCATGGGTAATCAATCAATCAATCAAGGTAGCCCGAGATTGGACATGTAGTGGAAGATCCCTAAGATCGAAAACTTTTCCTTACGATACGTTGCGTCAAATATTATTGAAAATATTTGATAATAGGATTGAAGCACTTGAAGAGTTTGCATGCCCCATCAAAACTGATTCCATTGGAATTGAATAAATAAGTATTGGGACCTCTAAATATTTTGACCAGTTTAAAAGGAATAAGGCATGTGATCTCCTATTATACCTCCGAAAACATATTTATGCAAAATACCAGCAGTATTTGAGATGCAACTAACTACACGTATGTTATCACAATATCGAAGGTTTTTTTTCTAAGTTTTTTTATCGAAGGATGTGAACAGATTTGAGATTTTGCAATAATATTCTATTATTCGGTTCGATTCGAGAAAAATATTCGATTTTGGACAGCCCTAGTTACGGGATTGTAAATATATTTAACCTAAATTCTCGTCATTCTAGTAGCAAGTCTATTTTAAGGCTACCGTTCATTTGATACCAGTTGCGTCATTTTTAATCTCCTAGATCAAAATTTACTCCAATCTACCGAAACTAGACAAGAAACTACTGGCCGCATGTCACCTAAATTAAGAAAGAACAAAAAGTTATAATATTTCGTCTAGCTCATAAAGAATAGCTGTAATTCTAAAACTGGATTTCTAAAAAATCCATAAATCCATTTCTATAAATTACAAAACAGTTTTCTAAGATTTGCCACTTAAAAGTTGTTAGCGTTATAAAATAGTTTTGTAGCAAAATAACAGTGATTCAACTACCATTTAGCTTCAAAAACTACTCTTCCTCGTGCGGGATTATTCGTTTGATCTGGAGTATGGACTTGAAGATGGCAACAAATACCTAGAAGAAGTTCTCCGACCACGTAGCGGCCGTCATCAACTCACTGAAATTCGATCCCATCTGAGGTCAAGCTTCAGTAACCTATGTTGCTTCCTCATGCCTCCCCCGGGATCAAAGGTCATGAACACGAAAAACAAGTTTGAAGGAAAGAATAAAGGTTCGATTGATTAAAAAATCAGTACACTCCATCAATCCGTCCTGTTTTGTATAATACAAAAATTCAAGTTTTGATGCCACTTAATAATTTATTTACAAAGAAATATTTTTCAAATTGTGCGTCAATAGGATCAAAACACAACTTGAATATGTTGTTGAATTGGGTTTATTTCTGTTTACTTTGCCCTGTCTTTTAAGTTATTTTGTAAAAGTACAAAAGTGCTTATTATCAGCATCATGGGAGCGCGTACTAGTTCATGGAACCCTCGAAAGGATCCTAATATCCGAACAGGAGTGTGAAACAGGCGGCCACAACCCGGCCTGTCAAGCCATTTAGTGCAGCTCTTGTCAAAACTCAGATTCTTTCCCCTACGAGCATAAAATTCTAATATGACAGTTTATATTTGAAAAGGCGCTCGCTCACATGAGAAAAAATACATTTTTTTGCTGTTGTCGATGCGTTAAATCTTTCGCCGTTTTTACTGGAAGGCTAAACGAAAGCCACATTCCGCATTTTTGTCTGTCCCAGCTAGATGTCTCAAGTGGGATAATCGCATATGGCCCACTTACAAAATATGTTGCAAACACCTGTCCTAAAAACTAGGATTCGTTGTTGCTGACTTGTAGAAGTTTGTAAATAACCCGATTGTATTATTGTGCCATAAACGCCAAAAGGGTTGAAAACATGTCCATCAAAACTAGTCTAGCGAGGAAAAGTCAAAGTGGTCTCCGAGACTACTCAGCGCTCGATTACATGTCGAGATGGGAACTGCCTAGATCAAGTAGGTCACGGTTTGCAAAGGCAATGCATACATTTTATCTTCAATAATTTCAGAAATTCAATACAAATGTTGATTAGAGTATTAAAATTAGATGCACGTTCTTGATTAAAGTTCCGTATAGTTGTTTGCAGACGATGACGAATTGCTTCCCCATTAAAATTTTAACACATTTGCTCATAATCATACTTATAGTTTAACGCCACAGAACCTCACGCTACGCGATCCATTTAAGAAATTAAGGTAGGCCTATAAATAGGACTGGGCAAAATATTCGAATAACGAATAGCGAATATTAAATTATTCGAATGGCATTTTACTATTCGAATATCGGGTACCACGTGATATGCGCCGCTTCACTTGGACACAGAACGTCTCTAAACTGATCGTGAATTGCTCGAGAATTCACCTACAACGCTCGCTAACAGACAAAAGCCACAAAATTTGAAAAATCGTCTTTGCGTTGTGGTGGTTTTTGTTTTCTTTGCGTTTCGATCGTTCATTTCAATTCCCTATGTGGCACAAAGAGGTACCGACACCGTTCCCTAAATTTAGAAACGTTAAATCAGATGAGGTATTTAAAATAAATATTCCAGATTTTAAACTCCGTATGATTGGCGGCACGTGATTAGCCGTTTCATGCATGAACCAAAAATAAATTTGTTAAAATTAAAAGTTGAATTAACTTTTGCGTGAACCATACATAGTATAACACGAACAAGCTATGACCAGAAAAGAAATGGCAGGACATAGTTCTTTTAATGTACTTTCAAATAATTCTTCAGTGATCCCTTTCATTCTTGACCAAATAATGTTTCGAGAGTGTAAACATTTCACTCGGGCATGCATGGCGGGTGGATCTTAGAAATCGTGAATAGGAGTATGGCGTAAAATCAATCGTGAATTTCGATGTAACAACGCTCACTGTCTCGTTTACGAATTGTTGTATCGTCGGAAATGATTACATTCGTTATATTTTGAGCATTTTTGCACTAATAAATAGGACGTGACATTATCAAAATTGTCAAGAGAAGTAAAAGTGAATTCGCAAATTCCGTAAATAAAATTGTGAATTACTCGGTAACGATATTAGCTATAATGATCGCGCGGTTTGTTGAAAGAAAACGTCGGAACTTGGAAGAGTTAGTTATAATTAGCGCCTGGCCATCTATTAGGCACAAAAGTACAAAAGCGCAATTTTTTTTCAGCATTAGCTGGCATATGTAAATTATTATTCAAGAAGCGCTGTTTATTAACGTCATCTCGTCATATGGCCACGCAGAAATGTCTTTATTGTCAAATTATTTAGTCACTATTTTAAATCAACATTCGGGATTGACGCAATCACAGCTTTGCGAGGTTTATCTGTAGAGTAACATAGACACCTTAGAAAAGCATAGCAAAGTTAATTACGGTATTTTCTTAATAAATATCTACATCCCGGTATCGATAATAATATTATCGTTCGCTTGATATTGTGACGGTAAATTTACAAACGTTGATAAGTAATATGAAAGCCAACGCAAATGATAAAAATTAGAATAATATTAATTTGGGTTTTTACATCAATCCTTAATGGTTTTAACCGCTGTTGCCGACGTGGACGCACGGGTAAACCCGAAATATAAACGTCGATGTCCGCCGACCCGAAAGAATTCATACTTGCAAATAACAGAAAGGGCGGTATTATAGATTATATATCGCCGCAAAAACGGTCACGGTGACAAAAACCATCAGCGATTATGACGAAATTAACTAGTAAAAAAAACGCTTTGTAGCCGATTTTTCAATGTCTTCATTAATTTCCAAAGAGAGTATCGACCGACGTTGTAGACCTCCTGTTGTGTATAAAAAAATATATTCGTTATTCGACTATTCGGCATTCGTTAAAAATATTCGAAATATTCGATTTTGCCCACCCCTACCTATAAATATAATTAGTTACCGATACCAGTACTGCCAGGATGACAATCGAATTTAAACAATTAGGTTTTGTCAACCAGGCGCTTTGTGTAAAGTAAGCTCACAATATATAAACAGAATCACTTTAATATCACCCTACAACTGCGACGTTACAGGCATCTCATTTTGAATTTGTACCGGCTTGTACATTTAGGCTATCAGTCCCAACTAGGATGAAGCATGATGAAATCCCCAAAAAATTGTTATTGCAAACTACAGTTCATCAACGAAGCTCGTGCCGTGCTGCGCTCAGTTTATAACAATAAATCCTGACAACATTAAGATATAATTTTCTGTTTTAAAACAACATATCAGACCATTACGTCGCACCGGCATCCGACCAGGATGGTGGTGAAAAAAGTCGGCGATTTCTAAATTCCACCCGGCGAAAATGCTCTCAATCATAGATATGGAAAAAAAACATCAAGATAAGCGGTAAATTTAAGTGAAGTTTGCCGTAAATTACGGAAATGGCTTTCTCAAAAGCTAAACTGTAACTGAATGGAGAGCGCAACAACAGTTTCTTTGACACTAATGTTTTATTTACTGATTTGTCAAAGTACGTTATCGAAAATGCTCTGTACTCGCCTCACTAAATTAACTGTGCTCAAGATTTCAAATTACCGAATAGTTGGAGTTTACAGGGCAGAAAAATGATCCTCTTATAATGTCAGGCTAATGTAGAAACGCGATCGCATTGATTTACGGCATTGAAAATATTTCAAAGTCGACCGATTAATAAAATACATGATGGCCGGCAAACAACTTTCTTAATGTTAAACAAGATCATGGACGCCATCTTGTGCCATATTTGGGAAACGCGAAACAATGGAGTGTTATGGGAAATTTTCGTCGTGTTGTTGTACCGAATCGAATAAGTCAGCTGTAATGAGGGTGCTTATAATTAAGCCGAAGGGTGATTTCGAACTTTAAGCTATCTGCTACCTAAATATATAACGCAATTAAGAATAAAAAAAACTATCTGATGCGTTAAATTTGGCCACATACACAACATAGAACCATTTTGGCAATTTTTTCGAAGTTGTTATAGTGATACGCCGATTTGACCCTGTATAATGTCACTGCAACAATCCTACAATGTTATTTGTTTTCCTAGCACAGCTCAGAGCTGAGTATTCGGGCACCGCGGAGCTTAACAGAAGAAAACTGTTACCCTGAAAATAGAAACAGCCAATGAAGCGAAGTTGAGTCGGCCGGTAATTTCGACGAATAACTTTTTATCTGTGACATCATAAGAAACGCCATTGTCAATTATGACGATTCGAATGGGCAACTTACTTCGTGAGCAACTCAGAACCGGTATATTTGTCTTCAAAGACAATTTAATGTACTATAAATGTAATTTGGCAAACATGAAAGGATATCAGCATGTTCGGCAATCGGCAGTATACTTCTTCAAAACGCGACCTTCAAAATCTTTCTATCTAAACTATCAGTGAAAATAATAGGTATGTTTCAATAACAATAGACTTAAAATGGCGTCCATTGTCTGTTCGTTGCCTCGCTTGTATGAAATACTCGTATACGCTTTGGCCATGACCGTCCACGTGACGGACTTTTTTTTGACGACAATTTTGTCCAATATGACGTAATATTCAAAGGTCTACTTTTAATTTAACTCGATATATTATGCATTTTATGGTATAACGTTAACCTTTAATCTATACAGCAACAATAAATCCAATACAAAGTTTTTTAATTTAATATTTACTGTTTGGGTGTTCCCTTATTTGTTAAAATTACGTATACGGATCGGAGGTGTCCGTCCTTCCTCGCAAGAGACGATTTTATTAATTAATAACAAATTGGAATAAATAAAGTTTTTCACCACTCATATCTCAAACCTATGCCGACTAAAAATTATAATTTTAGATATTCGATTATTATATACCGCTATCGTTTTTTACGTATTCCGAAAAGGGTTGAATTTTGCAAATTCAAAAGTAATGAGTAATCATAAGTTTATATTTAACCATACATATGGAACTCTAGATATACAAAAGACGATGGAAATTATGAAAATCTTGACAGCATGACCTAACGCACAAATGCCACGCGATTTTATTCTTCAAATACATTTTTTGAAATATGCTTACATCGGTCATGGACTGCGCAATTGTAAATTGTACTCATTTAGTTTTTCACGCCGACTTTGGGATTAATATAATGGCGATATTTTGCTCAAAAATAACCATGGGTGCTGAAAGAACAATTCAAATCTGAAGATCACTAAAATACCATTCTAATCTATTTATAGTTGGCAATTTAGAACGTATTTCATGTTATTTCAGAATATTAATCGTAACAATATCGACTCAAAGGCGAGTAACGATGAACAATTAAATTAACACAATTAAAACATTGTGGCTGCTCGCGTCGGCCATAGATTGAATATTTTACGCAACAGGAAACTCGTTATCCGTTGAATTTTTTTTTTCAACGATTCGACGAGTCGCCTAATCGCGAAGAATGTTGCGCGGGAATTTCCGATTCCAATTTTGAACCCCTCCTCTTTAACAATTCTGGTCGCGCTTCTGCTTATTGATAATGTCTTATATGAATTACCGCCTCGCTGCCATATTTCGACGATACTGTTGTCAAATTTTATTAATGCTGTTGTGGCTTTTTTGTACAATTATAAAACAAGTCAAATCAGTATTTTGATAAAGTATACGCATAGCTCGCCGAGCCCCTAGGTTTTTCTCACGGAGCACTTTAGGAACCTATGCAATATGTGATTGTCCAAAATTCTATGTTCTATTGCAGGGGTGGCCAACCTTTCACATACCATGCGCCACGTTTTAAACATAATGTTTCAGATGCGCCGTAAATCTCTTGTATTCCCACGCCTAATGTCCGCTTCTTGTTGAAATTATATAAATTTATAATACACACACATATATACACATGTATATGTAGTTTTTACAATTTACAACTTCACATGAATAGAAATTAAGCAAGGAGATATAATAAATAAAACTGATCAATTTTATTTAAGTACCGCCTTTATGAGACTTTTGCTGCTGTTTTACTTTCGCCAGTTTTTTTTATTCTTGGAGTTAAGTTTGTTACTGAGAGGAGCAGTGCATTCTTCAAATTTAAATCTGTAAGTCTTGACCTCGCTTTGCTTTTAATTAGTTTCATGGCAGAAAATGTTTGTTCACATCTATATGTCGTTAGGCGTAATATTGTGACAACAGGCCTTTAGTATCAATAATTACTCTACTCTACTCAACCCTCGATTCTAATTGGCCTTTGCTAATCAGCTGTTTGGCCTAGAGTCGCGTGATTTTACTCCAGGCTTCTTCGAGACTAGTACTTGCGTCACAGCAAGCGATTTTACGCTTCGCTTTTGTTGACAACGGTCATATGAAGTTTGGATGAAAAAGGTGGTATTTAGGGGTCATTTTCAGCATGTTGTGGGTTGATTTATATGAAATATTTTAGGCTTGGGCTATTCAACTAGTTGTTCAATGGTTGTTGGGAGATATTTGGGAAGTCTGGGCAATGGAAAATCCATGTTTCAAGCTGATAAATGACGATTTTCTATTTTTCCAGAAGTTCTGAACTTTTTACTTCAGTAGGGAAAAAACAGTAAATTTTACTAATTTTTGCTAAAAGTCTAGAATGAATGTCATAAAGTCCGTCCAAAAGCTAACGTCGATAATCGCCTGTTGTTTCTAATTTCAACAAGCCGTAAGTGGGCGACGTGGAGTAAGGAGAATAGATTTTAGGTACAATCAAAAGTCACCATGTAAATCGCAAAAAAACGGCTTGGCGTGGAGAAGCCAAGTGCAATTAACAATTTTGGCATGAAAAGGATTAAAGATGCAATGCGCCACCTCTAATCATGCAATGCGCCACGTTTGGCGCATGCGCCATAGGTTGGCCACCCCTGTTCTATTGCAATTAGGCTTAGGTTCGGGTTGTGGGACCTCCTCGATAAAGTGGTTCAATGATGCGGACCGAAAGGTTTAAATAAAATTTTTCACTGATCACCGAAATGTTAGTTTTAACCATCCATCTAGTAACCCGAAGGTCAATAGTTCGTCTTTCCGTTTTAATTTCTCGACAAACTTTCCTCACTGTCTAATTTTATTACAGAAATCGACGAAGAATTTTTAAAAGAGTTACCAAACTTTGTTGAATCCCTCCTGCACCCGAAAAACCTACTAGCCAAGATTTCGAACGGCAAACTAGTTACAGCTATGGAAATTCGCAATCTTATCTTGGCATGCGACAGAATTTTTGTCGAAGGAAAGTTACCGCCCATAGAAACACTGCTGGAGGTACAAAATTGCTCATTTATTCATTTAAAAAATAATTCATCCATGAGTATTTAATAAAATATAGTAAAAGCCATAAAATTTCTCTTTATACTTAATGCAATGTAATCAATGTAAAAGACATGCGCGATATGCCATATTTTTATAAACATGAATTCATTAAAGAACAACAATTATCGATGATTCGTTTAACAACTTAACTCTAAAAGGAATACACGTGATTGTAATGCCCTATTAAACACCCAGTTCGTTAAAACATAACAATGCCTCGTCTATCACCACGGTAAAAATTTAAATTTTGATGCAATATAAATATTATTTGATGTTCATAAGGTGTTGCTACATTTACAGGCTACCACGAAAGCGCACTACGAAACCCACTACCAAACCTGTATGAAGAAGTATTCCGAAGGAATTAAAGTGCGTTTTGTTTTTATTGAAGCAAACCCAAATTGATAGGATAGAAGCATTTTGACCACGTTCAAAGAATCAAACCTTTTCCGACCTACCGATGGGTGCAAATTCAAACTCTGAATTAAGACTATAGAAAGTTTAATATTTAATTCAGCTACAATGTATGTGAACCAAGATGATGGTTTTTATTACTGCAATTAAATTAAAACTTATAAGAACACAGAATGATCATTGAATTATCTGATTTGTATTTAAATTTTTGAAACACAACTGAAAACTAATGAACAGAGTTCAAAAAAGTGTCTGAGCGGATGCGGAAATAGGCCATTGTACGTCACTTTTGGCGCTTTGCTGGTTGGCCAATGTCAAGAAGTAAACAAGGAAGTCGTCGATGCTCGGGAAAAGGTCCATTACGAGTTCGGGGACTAGCCAAGTGACTTCCGTGGTATATGACCTGAAATTAAGACCTAACTCTAACCTGGTACACATACTACGTTCCGGTGTCCGCCATCTTGGTTCACATACTTCGGGAGTACCAGATTTCATTTTTGAACTTCAAATATTTAGTCCAATTTATTCGCATGGGAACACTGCATTTCGGTGTGCGACTCTAGAAAGTTTATTATTTATTGCAACTCAAATTTAATTCTAAAAATATATAAAAAGCATGACTCTACACCGTAATCTTTGTGTGTTGCACGTGAAAACTTAAACGTAACTAAAAAACTAAATTAGAAATGGTACATGTGTGTGAAAATTGGTATAGATGACTGAAAGTCTAGGGTTGTTGCTGTTTTTCATTAGAAGCATCACTTTAAATTGCTATAGCTGAAAAAAAAACGATTTATTTCTACAATTTTTAGAAAGTAATGTTTTTTAAACATTTTATCAGGATATCTTGGTGAGCGAATCATACATTGACGAAAGCATTCTAAAAGACATTCATCAGAATGCGATGAAGTATGCCATGGATTCGTTTGACAGCACATTGAAAGTTGGATCTGCAGAAATACGAAAAAAATATAGAGATAACTTGACACAATCTTGTGAGGAAAAATATGACAACATGCTAAAATCGAACAATAATAACCAAGTAAGTTTAATGGCCAATAATGTACGCGGGTGGAAATACACGGGGGTGCAAATGTAGGTGGGTGTAAATGTTCGTGGGTGCAAACGTCCGTGGGTGCAAATGTCCGTCGGTACAATCTAAATGCGGATGCCAAAGTCTGTGGGTTGAAATGTATGGGTGCAAATGTATGCAGGTGCAAATGTCCTGGGTGCAGTTTACGGGTGCAAATGTGCTTTCACCCCGCCTGGTTACCAGTCTAGGTCGGGTATGGAGTATCCAACAAAGTATTTGTCCAAATATTTGCTCGGATAGTGGAGAATGCTCCATCAGTTTTCTTAACCAGTAACCACCCGCAACGCCTAAATGTTTAACAATCTTAATACTTTATTACATTAGTGCAAATATGTAAGATGTTTCAGAAGGTGTGAGCCGAATTCCCACAAGACACGGAATAACACGGATATAGAATATTTAAAACAATTGCCTTAAAATAGCGTCCATTGTCTGAGCGTCGTCTCATTTACCATATATATCCGCTTTGACCTGGACAACCCAGAGACGGCGAAAAGTTATGAAGCCCCATTGCATGTAATTGCTACGACAGGACTTATGACAAAAATATGACATTAAATTCGTTGTTTAACAGGAAAAAATTTTGGGCGATTTGGAGAAAATCCGTATTGGAAGGCAGAATCAGTACGAAAAAATGATGAAAGAGGTAAACTTTAAGTTGAATCTGAATATGCTGTAAAAACGATCTTTGTTTAAAAAATCCTTTTGACATTAGCAAGAATCGAACTTGCGATCTTTGGCTTGCAACATTTCTTGTAAACCTGGGACAGTGCTGGGTAAACCATTAGGTAAGAGAGAAAGGCTGGAATTTGGAGGATCCAAAGACTAATAATTCACTACTTGAACAATTTCCATTTAAGAAGTAAAAAATTCAATATACTTGATGTAATACAAGAAAATGATCGTTTTCGTCGCGTAGTGATACAGGGTCTCCATAAAGTCACTTTACAATTTCAATTTTGTTATGAAGTCAGTTCTCAATATATCCTAGCCAGGTTTGTTGCTTTTTAATTAGTAATTTTTAAATAGTTTTACTTCTTTCAATACATTTGTAAGGCTCAAAACAATATATGGTATCGATAAATTCCCGTTGCAATTTTAAAAAAAATTCGGGATTCTATGGACCCGCTGTATAACAAATCTTGGCAATTCAATTATTATGTAAGAATGAAGCTATCATTTGAATAAATATGCAAATTTGGCAGGTTTTGATAGGCGGGTCAATAGAAGACTCCGAGTTCGAACAGCACCATCGGAGTTTTATGGAAGAAGCGATCATCGACTTCAAAAAACGATCGGAACACGAAAAATATGAAAAGTTTCGCCAGGATCATGAACTACAATTAATCGACGATATTTCTAAATACTTCGAAAAGGAAAGAAAAGAAAACGGGAAGCGAAATGACGTCGAGAAGAAACGCCGTATGGTGAGTCTATCTAAGGCAATTTAGTGCGTTGACAAACATGTTTAGGTTTCTTACATTGAAATTCCAGGTTGATATTTGGTAATTAGTTTTAATTCTTCAGTTAAAATGGTTCAAATGATAAAAAGTATTAGTGTTTGGTTAAACCGACGTTCAAATTGAGTTTTTTTCTCGAGATATATCACAAAGAAAATAGTTCTAAGTCGTGCTATTTCTACTCTTTGCAAATGGCAATTAAATTCAAGTTTAGCTGGAAATTTCTCAAAAATTATATTTCATATTGTTTATCAGGAAAAAGAACAAGCAGAAGTAAAGAACATCCATTACAATTTATTGGATGTCTACAGCAAGTCATTACGTGAGGTATATGACGTTTCAATCTTTATTTCATTCTTCATATGTCCAGGGACATATGGTATCCTACAAAATTGGTCAATCGGGGTGGGGCTGAAATATTTTGTATTTTGTCTCTTGTTTTGTTTAGATCTGGCATTAAGCTTCAGTGTTTCTCTAGTGACTTTTTCATTTTCGAGAATATACTTGTAATCCTCGTCTAACGGGAGTGTAGTAGAGATGTAACGACATATCGGTATCGGCAATATCGTCCATTATTTCGGTATCTGTATCGATATCGGCTAAAATTACACCGATATTTCAGATCTATTTAGAAATATAAGTTGGTATGCGAATATTAATAACTGATGCTAGTTTTCCTGTGGAGGGTGCATGTACGCGGCTTACTCTCTCAACTAGAAAAGGGTGCTATGCCGTCGCGGTGTCTTGAACCATGGTGCCTAATGACAATTCGAAACTTACCGGCATAGCGTTTTCAAATTCCAGTTAGCATCAAATATACTTTTAGCGTATGTTTACCGCAGATTTAATGGAAAATGAACGTCATTGATTTATGGCTTCATAATGCATTTAAGAAGTAACGTATGCCCAAATCGGCGTTTTGCATAATATAAAATATGACGCTATACTGAAGTTTTAAATATGTTTACTAGAACAGATGCATATGATTCTTATTTGTTTTTTAAGCTATTATACTAATCTTTACATACGCACAGTTACAAGGCAGTTTACAATGCAATTAATTCGTGTATTCTAATAAATTGTCAGTAGTAGTGAGTACAGTGACTCGCCATTCACAAATTGATGATGTGAAATTTGATCTGCAAAACAGCAACAGCGTCGTTTTACGATCGCGCGTCATGATTTCGTGGTCAAAACGATATTATTCATTGCGTTATCACAGTAACGTAATTAACACCGCCAGACTTATTTCGTCTTCACGACAAGTTATCTTTTTTATTCGGCGCTGATAATATTAAACGAGAAAGTGTAATTGTTGATTGCAATTCCGGAAGGCGTATTTTCCTTTCTCTCCATGAAACAGACATGATACGAATTTTACCGCAGTTATGGCCTTTCATAAGGAGAGAAGGGTTATAAGCTAGTTTAAGGACTTTCTTTTCCCGACACCATAACTTTTATTAATACAAATCACAGCGCATTAGTAAGCAAAATAGAATTTATTTACATTAAATTACAACGAGTAACGGGTAAGAATTTACCGACGGCTATCGCTAACATTGCCTTTTTGCGTCATATTTTTCAATTCCTAATTTTGCATGAAGCGTGTCAACACCGCTTTTGAACACATCGAACCAGCTAAGTTAAGACAGGTAAACAATGTATTTTATGGAAACTTCTCGAGATATTGGGGAGAAATTATTTTGACCACCTAGAAATGCCATTATTGCCGATTTATCCACGTGTTTAGTATCAGTGTTTTAACCTAAAGCTGAGTTACTTGAATACTCAACACTGAGTATTCAAGAGATTACCAATTTGCGGAGTTTTTAATTATTATTTAATACGAAAGTAACACAGAGACATGATCTAAAATTAAAAGCATAGAAATGTCAACTATCTGCTTCACAAATATCTCATGCCGGGGTCAATAATAAAAATATTGTTCGCTTGAAATTGGAACCGTAATTTACAAACTGTGATACAAATCCTACACAGCAGATAAAATTCAGAACAAAATTAATTTTTGTTGCGATAGTTGACTTTAGCATCTTCGCCGATATGAACTAACAATTCTGTCCGAAATATAAAAACCAAACTACGATATCCGCCGTTGCGTGAAAACTAAATTGTTAGCTATAGTGAATAAAAAATGCTTCAATATAGTTTAACAACATTAATTGGAATGTCGGCGCCGAAACGACATGCGGTGACAAAAAATTTACTGCAGCTTTCGATTATGACAAAATTAATAAATATTATACACCGCATTGAGGATTTTTCAATCCTCTAGCAAAATCAAAAATAAAATTATTATCACGGCGATCGTTTCGACGGCCAACATCCGAATTAATGTTGTCTAAAATGACAATACTCATTATTCGGTGTTAGTTATAAATATTCGAATAACTCGGTTAAAAAATACGATTTTGCCCGCCACTAATCAACGCGCATGTAAATAATCATTGAATGGCAATAAAAATCAACTTCATTAACAATAAATTTCAAATACAGGGTGTCCTTGGGTTACGACGGTCGCGACTTACGCTGTTTCGAGGTTACGAATGCGCACTTCATAACGCTGTTTCGAGGTTACGAACGCACTCCATGAAAATATAAAAGATTTGGTCCTCTCTTAGTAGTCGTACCAGAGCATTTTCCCGTAAGATACTTTGCTCACTTAATCCTCACATACGAATACTTCTGGAGCGCCAAAAATTTTGCCAACCTATACTGGTGGCGGGCAATGTTAGGGTCACGCCATACTTTAATTCCAATTTTTCCTATTTCAGTTCTATCACAAGTCCAGGGACTCTCCTAGTGACTCCCGCAGTATTTGTAGCTGAAATTATGGCATAACCCTAACCTGCTGCACATATTACGTTCCGGTATCCGCCATCTTGGTTCACATACTTCAGGAGTAGCTAGGTGTGACGTATAAGTTACATTTTATGAATGACAAAATTTGATTTACATTGTTACAAAAGCAAAAGTGGAAACAATAAGCCTCATGTCAAAACTAAATCTAATCGCAATCTCAACAAATACCTTGAGAAATATTGAGGTTTTATAGATGGAATATTCGTTTTAAATGTAATATTGTAAATGTTTAGATACTTTCCGCTCAGTCTACACCTGCAAAACAGTTGGAGGAACACCATATTGAATGCATTGAGACCGTGAAAGTTCAATATACATCACAGACAGAAAAGTACGAGTGGCTTCCTGATAATTACTGGGAAAACCTAAAGCACGATATCATCGAAGTATATAAAGGAGAAGAGAAATCCAATCAGGAGAAAATACAGATGGAACAAGAACTTAAAGAGGTAAATGATTTACTGATCTTAGTGTAAATTGAATAAAAATATACAGACAATGTGGTTTATGGCATGCAAAAGAGCTTTGAACCGTTTCCATCTTACCATTGTTAACTCGCCCTCTCCCTCACTCGTGAACTCTACCAATCGTAAACTCATTTAAAATAAGTCACTACAGTAATGTTTTGGAAATTCACAATTCCTCTCTATCACTGTACGATTTCTTTAATTCACACAGCTTAATAATTGCCCTGTAAGCAGATTGTTCATATATGACATTAAAATATAGTAACTTAATACCAGTGTGTTTCTCACGCAGCTCAAAACGGCATTTCAAATTATATTATACGTTTTCTTAAGGAAAAAGACAAGCTCGAGCTGCATAGAACTACAGAACAATCGAAACTGGACTACGAAAATAAACTTGAAAAGGTGTGTATTCATGATATCTAATGGCACTAGTTTGGTGGTCAAAATATTAATGAATCTCAATAAAAGCCAGTATTGCACCAGAACTATCGTTGTTTTATCTTGAGTTTATAACCCTGACGGAGTTTTGATAATTTATTAAAAATCTTCGAATGGTCGAAAGTCGCTAATAACGTGTGTGGTTTTACAGGGCTAATTTTGTTAAAAACGCCGATTGTCTTCAGCGTGGCGTGGTCATTACTTATCGATCTTAAGATCGGTAAGTATATTGATAGGTATTTGTCTGTATGTATGTCTGTCTGTTAGATGACCGCGATATCTCGCGAATGCGAGGTTGAATCTGCTCCAAATTTTGCATGTGCATACATCATATCTCGGACCAGAAGCCTATTGATTTTGGGTTGATTATGTCGTATATTTAGCGAGTTATTAATTAATTAGTGATGGGACACACGGTGTTGCTAGAGGTTCAGAGAGAAGAAATCGAAAGGGATTGTGTGCGTAACAATGCCCTGTCTGCGATGCTATCAAAGCCGCAGTTTCTGTTTTGGGAGATCCCCTTTTCCATACGATTGTGTGTGTGTGTGTGTGTGTGCGTAACACTGTTCTATCTGCGATGTTGAGCGTTTAAGTATTTCAGTTACACGCCGCTTCGACATCACTGATCTGGAATCATTGAATAAAAACCATTCGGATACAATCGGAACCATCCGTCGTATACTATCTTTGCGTTTGACACAAACTATAGAGCTATAGGATAGTCGACGGTCGCCATTGCCGGTGGCAAATAGGCTATTGACTGAAACCAAATCTAATTCTTTACCAAAACATCGCTAGGCTGTGGTTGAATAGCCGTCGCAATTGCGGTTAGCGCCGTTTTATTTGACACAATGACATCTTTCAATGACAAGGATAGTGTTAGTGCTGCTTCTGAACGTTCTCTGTCACAGTGGCTTGCGAGTGCTCGCTATGGTATTGGTGACACGATATCACTGGTTTCCGGAGAAATGCTATCTGGTATTGTTAACAAATCTCGGCAAAAGCACCCAAATGAAACTGAGATGGGTACCTTATGTCGACTTGATAAGGCTAAAAAACATATGGCGGAGGTGCGAAAATGGGAGACCACACAGAAAAAAATATATCGTCGAGAACAAGACAAAAAACAGACGGCCGCGGTTCGTGTGCGCGAAACGGCTCCGGAAAGATCTGTCCGTCTCCAACAAAAGAAAAAACGGACGACCGAGGTTCGTGCGCGCGAAACGACTCCGGAAAAATCTGTTCGTCTCCAACAAGACAAAAAACGGACGGCCGAGGTTCGTGCGCAAAACGGCTCCGGAAAATCTGTCCGTCTCCAACAAACAAAAAACGGACGGCCGAGGTTCGGCGCGCGCGAAACGACTCCGGAAAAATCTGTCGTCTCCAACAAGACAAAAAACGGACGGCCGAGGTTCGTGCGCACGGAAACGGCTCCGGAAAAATCTGTCCGTCTCCAACAAGACAAAAAACGGAACGGCGAGGTTCGTGCACTCGAAACGGCTCCGGAAGAATCTGTCCGTCTCCAACAATAACAAAAACGAGACAGCCGAGGTTCGTGCGCGCGAAAACAGCTCCGGAAAGATCTGTTCCGTCCTCAACAAAACAAAAAAACGAACAGCCGAGGTTCGTGCGCGCGAAACGGGGGCTCCAGAAAATCTGGCCGTCTACAACAAGACAAAAAAACGGACAGCCGAGGTACGAACGAAGAAACTATACATGAAAAAACTGCTCGTCTAAATCGAATAAAAAAACGCGCCATGGACGTTCGTCAACATGGAGAAAATAACACAAACTTTACATATATACAGAAATTTCATCACCATATATCCAGTAGCGCAGATTTTCCCTTGCACCTCATGCCACCGTTTACAGTACAAAGTTAGTGTTAGTGAAACTCAATAAAACTGCTTACAAGAACGTAAACATGAAAATAATGAATGTGTTCTATCATTCGAAATTAAGTCACCAGATGGAAACGTGTACATTTGGCAGAACATGTCACATTCGTTAAAGAATGGAAAAAATACCTTGCCATCTAAAGCGAATAATGTGACGATAGCGGACCAACCACGCTGCTTCTATAAGCATCTGAATTGTGCTAGAACTCTCGTTTGATTTCACACCGCGAATCCCCTTTTATGAAAATTCTTAGGACTTCCTATGTGGCATAAGCCAACGCAGGAATTCACGGATGCCATGCAGTCAATGTATCCCACCTTCTTAAGTTACAACTGTACGTTGTGCATGCAAATTCCTCGGTTGCCCTCTGGAATATCAGTTCGTATTCCATGAAGTGTAAACAGGTTAAACGTAATATGTCCATACACTATCGCATGTACATCGTGATGGATTTATGTCGCGAATTGTAAAGTCACTATGTGCCACTGATAATGGCGTGAAAAATTAACCAAGTCTTCTTTGGTATAAAAGATTATCATCGATCAGAGCGACAATTATAGCTTGAACATGCTTCAAAAAATGCACGAGGGAATGGGCAATGCTATAGTTTATCGACGACAACGATGACATGCAGTTAAATTCTAATGAATCGGTCAAAAACATTCCCGTAGCACCAGATATTCAAACAACGTGTGCTTCTCGCCATTCCTCTGATAGCGAGAAAAAGCGTAGTTCAACAAACTCATCATCCACAAATGTTTCGTATTCGCCGACATGTACGGGTAGCGTTTCGAGTCGCAATTTATGGAACACTTCGCAAACGCAGGGAATGAAAATGATAAACGTTCCATCAGATGGAAATTGTATGTTTAACGCCGTCTGCCATCACTTAGTACGTCTTGGCATATCGCTGCAAACCCCAGTCGAAATACGACGTGAACTATCCAAATATATGCTTGAACACGCAGATGCTTATAGAGATTTTGTATGTTCCAATGTCGGATATGAAGAACTTTATTGCTCTGACATGGAGCATCCGTCAGATTACGATTACCACATTTCCCAAGTTAATAATCCGGTGTCTCGTCATAATCTAATGTGGCAAAATTACTTAAATAAGTTGGAAAATGGTTCACAGTGGGGCGAGCATATAGCATTGCAAGCCATCACCGATATGTTCGCACTGAAAATTGTTGTGCACAAAACTAACGGAGATGATATTGTTGTGCGATCCAGATATTCATATAAAAATGAATTTCATTTAGGTCTAATTGGACAACAACGTTGTATTTGAACCTGAATCACAATATTCAGATTCGAACACAGACAGTTATTCAAAAATGGAACTTATGGATATCAGTCACAAAATTCAAAGATGTAAGGTTACAAAAAGTAATTCCCCCGAAATAAGCAGCGCAGTAATTGAAAATAAAGGGGATGAGATTGATTTAAAACAATCAACAAGTGTCCGAGGTTTACAGTATGAATCAACGGTTGTCAATGATGACATCAGTAATAAAATTATCAGTATGGCTCCCGCTGAAGATGAAAAACCGATTCCATTATTGGCCGATGATAAATTCGAACAACTAGCATATCCATCATTATATCCGGATGGAAATAATGGTTTCAGTACTGATCGTGTTGTTCCAATCACTCCGCGTAAGTATTTCAATCAAAGACTTTTAGATGCTGACGGAAGATTCGCACGAAATATTGAATACTTATTATCCGCCCAGTATGCAATTGAAAGCAAACAGATACAGGGTGACGTCAACCACTTCGTGTTTCGTCGAGTAAATCACGAATGCGGAAATAACGAGATAACTGCTGGATTTATTCGAAATTCGGATAATATAAATAACATGATTAAAACTGATAAAGCTTTCAGAATACTGCAGAATATTCGAGGTTCGCCCGCTTATTTCCAAGGCGTATTTTATGATGTACTGGCTATGATTCGTCAGATTGGAATTCCTACATTTTTCTTCACACTAAGTGCCGCAGACATGCGATGGCCAGACTTAATTTCATCCATTGCTAGACAGTACGGGTCCATTTTAACGGATGATGACGTAGCTAAGCTTTCCTTTGAGCAGAGGTCTATGTGGTTAAGGTCCAAACCCGGTTACCGCAGCTAGACACTTTCACTATCGTTTAGAATGCTTGTACAAAGATGTACTATTTGTCCCCGGCACAGCCATTGCGGTCATATTACTGATATGTGATTCGGATAGTATTTCAAGCCAGAGGTTCCCCTATGCCCATATGTTGCTTTGGGTTGACAAGGCCCCAAAGTTGGGCATTCAAACTGATGAAGAGGTGTGCGCGTTCATTAGCAAGCACGTTGCTTGTTCATTTCCTGTTGACGACCTCCCATTGAAAGCCCTCGTTCAGGATTTACAGACACACAGTCATTCTTCCTATTGCAGGAAAAGTGGTGGATGTAGATTTAATTACCCAAAACCACCGGATGAAAAAGTAATAATTGCAAAAGAAGTCGAGGAGGATGAGAGTGAATTAATGGCCCAGTCTAAAATTGTTTTAAAAAAACCCGTGATACGCTATCGTCGTCGTACCGAGACACCAGTTCGGATGTAAGTATGGACGATTTACTACAAAATATTGATATTGATAATCAACAATATCGGCAGGCAACACTGTTATCCTAGCCAGAAAGCCGGCGGAGTGCTTCATCAACGCATATAACCCCGTGATATTAAAGGCATGGCAAGCCAATATGGATATCCAGTATGTTGTTGATCCTTATGCATGTGTCATGTATGTCGCATCGTATATGATGAAAAAGTGAACAGGGAATGGGGTTGCTATTAAAACATGCATGCAAAGAATATAAGGATTTTGATATAAAAAAATATGCTTAGGCGAATAAGCTCTGTCTTTTAAATAATCGAGAACTAAGTGCACAGGAAGCATGTTATTCGTATCTTATCCATTCCAATGAAAAAAATGAGTAGATCTGTTATTTACATAAACACTGATCCTTGTTGCAGAACGACAGTGTATCTTAAAATTCAAAAAAAGAACTGAGAAACTGGAAAGACGAAGATAGTGACATATTTCAA